TAGGTCTAGAGTACCCACCCAGTCAGTTAGTATCCTGCCGCGAGTATCGGTGATGATAGATCCCCACTCCGCTGCTTTTGCGTTAAAATCTCCCAGCACTACGTATTCTCCTCATGTGAACATCTCGTACTCGCCCACCGTCACGTTTGGAGAAATATAACAGCAGACCAGCCGCACCCCCTCCATCTAAACAATCACATATCCTTCTTTCGGCTTAATTTTATACACTCGCAGCTTCCTATTGTAGATTCGTACAGCAGCCCTCCTGGTCGTATCTACAAACCATCCTCTTCTCTTCACTGCTGTTGGATTTGGTTCTGCCGTCACCAGTACATCGATGTTCTTTTCTACTGCGGCAGCCTCAGCAAGATCATGTGCTAATCTTGCCGTTCCAACATTAGTTTGGAGCACCCTCAGCTCTAGAGTCTTGTTTTCTTTGTTTGCCATTTCTAAACCTTCGACTTCTTTCGCGCTCTCTTTTACACTCTCGTACTATTCTTGGGATTATTCCTGAGTAATTCCTATTTTCAAGCAGTCGGTTGAACTTTGGACATATTCTTGAATTTGCCACATGTCCATTCACGTCGCAGTTGAGGCATCTGGTTGTTTCTTCCTTACAATACAGCGCTATGTGACTCTCTTTGCCACATCGGAAGCATCATCCTCTTCTATTCGGCCCCTTGCACTGCCATTGTTAATGTCCAAAGGCAAGACATCTCAGGCATCTCGGTATTTCTACCCTCGATTTTATCACTTGGCACGATGTGTAGTCTACTTTTATTCTTATCATTTTCAAGATCTTTTCGGCAGCGTGTTCATTTACATCGATCACAGCACTCATCATCCCTCTTACTGCGCCTCGTGTCTCAGTCCAAATTTTTATGTCACAGGCCCCTCTCTTTGCCAGCTGTTTCCTCAGTGGCCTTTTGTATCTCTTCCTTTGTTGTATTAGGAGAGATTTCCTGTACTAAGATTCTACTCTTCACGATGCCTCCTTTTGCAACTGCTCTCGATACGCATGTATTATCAGAGAGGAGTTTCTTCACTTCCTCCGCATTTCTCGGCATCCGACCAACTCCAGTGATATTCCTTGGTCTCTAGTTTGTCTGATCCTTTTAATGTCAATGTCCTTTCTTCCTGTTAGTTTGTTTTGCACTTCTGTCATTAGATCCACAAACGATTTTTCTTTGGATTTATTGATGATTACGACTCCGTTTTGTTCTTTGGACTTGGTGTTGATGTTGGTCCACTTTCTTATTGTTTTATTACCTAGGAGCATGATCGTTACATCTCTTCCTCTTAAAGCCCACTCCATAATTTTTCTCGATGTTTCAACTCCCAGTGCTGCTGGTGTGTGGATTCCCAAGTTTTCTCTTCCCAGCTCCTCCATCTTCTGTACAAGTTTCCTGCATGTTTTTATTAACTTGACCGGCACAGTTTATTACCTTTTGTTTGGCAGAAGTTTAAATACATACTTCTACTTGTGGATCCACGTTCCATCTTTATGAGCAGACATCGTGACTCTCATAGTTCCCAGGCCACCCTTTTCGTCCACCTCCGCTGAAGCACCTGGTAGCTGCGGAAATATAGCTTTGGCATTTTCCATAACTTTGTTGTCCTCGTCATTGTTGGTGACAAAGACTGCCACATCTCCTATTATTTCTCAGATGTCTCCTTCTTTCACTATAGTCCTAGTGAAGACCTCCTCTGGCCAATCTTCATTTAAAAACTCTATCGTTTCCTTCTTTTCCTTAAATGTTGTAATTTTGTTAGTAATAGCGTCTACCCTTCGTTTAATGGCCTCTGAATTTTCTAGGTTCACTTGAACCCCCATTGTCGCCAACTTCTTAACTTTCAAGGGTTCCATGTTGATTTGCACACCTCAAGATGTCATGCACATCGACTTCCTTGGAGCCTCTTTTTCCTTATTTTCCTCCATTTCCTCGATATAATCCAGCATCCGATTTCTCAGGATGTCAACCTCCTCTTTATGGATAGCCTTGTATTTGGCACATTTCTCATAAGTTTCTCGAGTTCCGCTACGCTGTCCTGGAGACGCTCCAACTTTGATCTAGTTTTGTGGTTCAGTGGCTGCCTCTCTTCGTCCAAATTGGACGTTTCTGTCCTGTTGTTTGGTTCTCTTTTTCTTGACCTCCTTTTTTCCATCCGTCATCAAAGCTGCTTCTGCTGTCCGAGCTGTTTGCTTCTTGGTCTTCCTTTCTTTTGTTTTCTTTCGTTAGAATCTCCTCCTTTATTATATTTTTTCCTTCGTTTTGCCTCTTTTCTCCTTCTTCTTTATCTTTTTCTCCTCCCTTTATTTCTTCCTAACAAGGTTACCATTGTCTACGAAAGGACTTCCCGAGAGCCATTGGCGGCACCTCAATTTTTGTTTCCAGAGATCTGTTTTCTACACATCACATACTCACTACTGGCATTGAGGCAATCGCAGTCTCTATCTGGTGCCCCAGCAAAATTACAGTGTGTGGCATGTATGTACCACCTAATTACAAACTTTCAGAAGAGGAACTGTATGATCTAATTCATTAACTCCCCACTCCTTATCTTCTTGTGGGTGATTTCAATGCACATAATATTATGTAGGGCTCTGATAAAACATTTAAAAGGGGAAAATTCATTGAAAATGTATTAAATTGTTTTAGCACTTGCCTATTAAATACCGGATCAAGTACACACTGCAATATATCTTTTGGCACATTTTCAGCAATTGATTTGAACTTTTCTGACCCAAAATCATCATCTCTATTAAACTGGCATGTCCTCGAGAGTCTCTTTGATAGCAATCACTTTCCAATTCTGATTTCAAATAGCGAGAATAAATCTAGCAATTATAATGTACCCAAATGACGAATCGCCAATGCAGCTTGGATTGGCTTCTGCTCGTATCTCGGAAAAAACTTCCACTGCTGTCTCTTTCTGATGACGTAGACGAATCTATGAACCTTCTTATCCACTGCATTATCTCTGCAGCTGAATGACATATTGGCAAAACTTCTACAACCTATACACGGAAGAAAACACCATGGTGGAATAAGGACTGTGAGTATGCAGTTCGTCAATGCAAAAAAGCAATTACCAGATATCGAAGAACTAGAAATAACGAAGATTTTGTGCAATTTAAAAAACTAAAGGCCAGATCAAAATACGTGCTAAAAGAAAGCAAGAAAATTTCATGGAGAGAATATACTTCATCACTAAAAACCAACACACCTTCTGCCCAAGTATGGACGAAAATACGACAAATGCAGGGGCGTTCGACAAGTTTTGGTGTTCAAAGTAGAAGTTATTTAAAGTATAGTATAAAACATCATTATCCATGGCATACAACGCATTGCCAATTTACTAGCTGATACGTTTGAACAAACATCCAAAAGACAGTACTCACCTAACATATCAATCAGGCACATTAACTGGAAAGGCCTCCATAATAAAAACTGTACAAGCAATCGATCCTATTAACACATCATTTACCTTAGAGGAACTAATGATGGCACTCGATTTGTGTAAAACCACAGACTTCACATTTCCAGTTAACATTCCTTTCATATTCCTAAAGAAATTATCGACTCCTTGCATCATTGTTTTATTAAAATTTTACAACGGTATTTGGAACAGTTATAATTTTCCTAGGCGGTAATGCAAACATCCATTGATAATATAGAAAGGTGGTTGAGGCATATTGGCTTTCCTTGTCATCTCAAAAAACTAAAATCATGAAATTTAACAGAAAAACGACAAAAGATAATCCAATTTTGACATACAACGGAGTATTACTAGATGTTACTGATCATCATAAAGTCTTAGGACTGACCTTTGACTCCAGACTTACTTGAAATACATACATACAGGAAACGAAAGGCAACTGCTTAAAAAATCTTAATATCCTCAAAAGTTTAGCATATTTTCAATTTTCAATGGGGAGCCGACTAAGAGGTTTGCTTACAGTTTACAGATCCATTATTCACTCCAAAATAGACTATGGTAGTTTTGTCTATATGTCTACCTCCAAGTCACATCTGAAAGCTCTTGATTCAGTACACAATACGGGTTTGTAGTGTATACACTGCAGAACTATACGGTATCGTCGAGGCTTTTCGTATGTTGGAACCAACGCACCGCAATGTAGCGATTTGCACAGACTCCTATCATCAATACAGGTAATTAAAAACATGTTCTCAGATCATCCTCTGGTAAATTTAATACATGACATATATAATAAACTTACGGATCATGGAGTAATTGTCACTATTGTCTGGGTACTTTCACATGTAGGAGTTGTAGGAAATGAGGCTGCAGATGTAGCCTCAAAAGAAGCCTTTACTCTGGGTATACCTATATCAGCCAATAATGATCAAACAACCGAAATAAGAGCTAAGATAGAAATAGCAAGAAATGCGTTTGTAAAAAATGAAAACAATTCTCTGCAACAAAGATCTTAGATTAGAGTAAGAGCACTGATATGCTTTTGATTGATTCCTTTTTCAAGACATTGTAATAAGAAAAATGTGTAAATATGTACAAAATATCACAACTCGTTAGTGCAACTTCCTAGTCGTTTTATTATTATATACTTTATTAGTCGAGATTATTTATAAAAAGCTTTGACACTCAACATTAATAATGCACATATTAAATATAAACTATTGGACAAAATACAATCAAAAAATTTTAAAATTTAGGTCAGGATAGTAACACTTAGTTTATAACATCTTTTAATGGTTTGTTCTAACTCTGATACATAGAGAATAGAAAGAAAAAACAAAATGATTAAAATGTAATTATTCGTTCTTAATATTTTAGTTCTTTGCTGCTTTTTATATCGACAGTCAATAATATCCAATGTTTTATATATATATATATATATATATATATATATATATATATATATATATATATATATATATATATATATATAGACATTCACATTATTCTTAAATTGTAAGAAATCAACATATTGCTATAAGTTTTTCTTTTGCTTTTAGGTTATCCAAATAAGTTCCTACAGCATTTTTCATTATATCGTAGCTGGAAAAATAGAACGGATATTTCTAAAAATGAAGATTACCAAAAACTTCTATCTATGCAAGGTTTACGAGTATATATGATGCTACTAGTTTTCTTACTACATTTTTCTTTTTTCTATTTTAACATTTCCATAACGAATCCCGACTATTATCGAGAATTTGTAAGTTGTTTTTATAATTATTGTTTTTTAATTAATTTTTAATTTAATTAATTTTATAATTAAATATTGCTTAATGCCTTTTAATAGTACTTATCTGTGCATGGTTGGAAATCTAAAAAGTGAACATACTGCAGTATGAACTATACTAACATATGTATTTTTTTAAATATTCCTGATATCTACCACAGTTTATAAACCAACTGTTGATAGACCTTTTTCACAAAACTTGTAAAGTTTATTTCCAATTTCAAAAAATTTGCTTTTGGGATAATTTAAGATTTGAACAGAATAATATTTAACAATAAAAAACTATACTCGGTTCACAATTTGTTGATAGCTGACTACAAGTTTAATCCTAATTAGAGAACTGAAATACAGAGAGGATAGGTAATACGATATAATAGTAAAAACCAACCTGAAACTGACGATTTAAGATGTTTTCGACTAACCCACCTTGTATCTGCCGGAATACAATACAGCGGTCAAGCTTATAATCCGAGTAGGAACGTATTTTGGCCGACCAGTGTCGTAGAGTATATGATTGAAACATTTATTTGAACTAAATAAATATATTTTTTAAATTGTATTTTTGTTTTAATAAAACTTATAATAAAATAAAATATTTTACTCAAAAATAAAGTTTTTTGCCATTTGTAAAAGATACATTTATTTAATTAAGGGGAAAGGCACCAAAAATTTAAAAGCAGAATGAAAGATTACATTATTACCGAGGGTATTATATATGTGTATACTGATGTATATTACAGAAAGTCCCTGAAAACTTCTACAATGTTTATTTTATTATGTTATGCTACAGGGGTGAAAATAAAAGAGAGAATATAGTATAATTTTTATTTGAAAATATTGCATGCAAAAGAAACTTTTTATTTATTCTAATAAATTTTATTCTGCCTTTAAATTTTTCCAAAAAGGCTTTTTAGTTTTCTCAGGATTTGAAAAAAAATCGATACATTTAAAATACATTGAACATTTTGACAGGCGACGTTTTGCGCCTTTCCCCTTTAATACCTTACGATTACAACTACTATCACTTACCTTATATAATTACGATTAGAAAACTGTTCAAATTCAAAATAAATAGGATCAACTTCGGAATCCTAGTCGTCTTGAGGGTTAATAATTAGCGGTTGTGTCTCTACGGTCGCATTAATTATGTTATCAAGATCCCACATGTTTTTTTCTTCTTCTATTACATGTCTTACTGCATCTTTCCAGTTTTGTTCTGTAATGTGTTATAAAGACTCGTATAACAATTCACGTACAGCTTGTATTTTATATGACGTATTTTTTCTAGCCACATAACTTTTCATTTGTGCCCAAATGAGTTTAATTGGATTTATTTCGCAGTGGTAGGGTGGAAGTCTAAGGACTGTGATGTTTCTCCTTTCCGCCATTTTGTCAACTACGTATTTCTTGAACTTAGATTTGTGTTGCCGGGCAATTTTTAAAAGTTCTGCTTTTTACCATTCCATCTTCGTAAGGCAGGTACTTATTCCGCAGCCAGTCAAGAATATCCTGTTTTTTCCACGCAGTCGTTGGAAGTCTTTCTACTAGTCGTGAATGATATGGTGTATTATCTTATACTATAATCGAATTTGGTGGTATGTGTTCAATCATCTGCACAAAATACTCTTCGAAAACATCAGCTGTCATCTCCTCGTGATAGTCTTTTGTGCTTTTGGACTGAAATTCCAACAAAACATGCTTAACAAATCCTTTTCCACTGCCAATGTGAGAAACTATTAATCTACTGCCTTTACCAGAAGGTGGGGAGATACCAGTAGACCAACTTTCCATAAAGGCTCTCCTGAAGCTTAATATATTTTTATCGGACCAAACTTTTTTTAGAGTATGACCTGAGTTTACCCACGATTCATCCTGGTAGAAGATTGGCCTTCCTTCAGCCTGGAATTTTCGTATGGATCTTAGATAATTTCTTCTCCAACATATTATCTCCTCCCGGTCAATCAAAAGTGATTTTCGGGGTGATTTCTCCCACCGGAAATTTAATTCTTTTAAAACTTGCCACAATTTATTTCGTCTGATATAAGGCAAATCCGAATCATCTTTAACTTCTTGTAAAATTTTATTTAGGTTTGGTATTTCTTTTTTGAAAAAAAATCCATGAATTTTCCTTCGAATACCATTTTTGTCAAATTCATCAAGTTCAATAGGCTTTTTCCCTTTTTTTAAGTGTTCGTTTGTGTTTGGGTTAGCTATATCGTGTTTTTTTCTTTCTGATAGGAACCTATATATAGTTGACTCCCCTACGCCAGTCATGTTGGCACAACTTTCGACTATGTTGCGAACAGTGCTTGTGGGATTCTGAGAAACCAGAGCATCGTGAACATTCAGGACAATAGTCTTCTCTCTTGGTGAATAGACAGACTTACTGACTGTACGCAACAGTACCGGTGTAAAACTTGATGATGTTGATGATGAAGCCATCACAAACAATCCAACAAAACGAGCACGAGCGAAAGGTACGTATATGTTCGTAGGTATATGGAATAAAAAATCACTCACGCACTGCATATAATTCGCAAAATAAATATTCGAGACGCTAATTACTGCCGTAGAAGCGGAAACACCAACGAGCCGTAAATTACATGCCATCAAAAACATACTAAACAAACAAATTGTTTTCGTTCGTAATAACTTCACCCTTTTAAGTTAAGTTTCGAATATAAACTAAACAGACGAGGTACGTGGCCAAATCCGGCATCTATACCCATTATATTATTAAAAATCTGGGGAACTCCATCCTAATTATCTTGGAACCGATAGTACCTTCGGATATAAATACCAGGTTTTCTAGTAAAGTGATTAAACGCGAAGATTAGTATTGAAATATCCAAAGAGATAAGGTATTCTTATTTACAAAATTGTTAATGGTTAAATTATTATTTTTATTAATATAATATAATAACCAACATTAGCCGTGAAAGTTTTAATTGTTTTTTACTAAATATATCAGTATTAAAACATTAATAATATTAATATTAATTTTAATGAATAAACACCTCAGGAACGCCTATGATGATACAAATTTGACGATAGTTTGATGATTTTGAGGCATATTTCGTGCTATCAACAATTTGTGAACAGAGAATACTATAGTAGAAGTATCGACATAATGTGTACAGGATGGAACACATATAGGAAATCACTGATTTAATAAAATTATTTTTGTCCGTGTTTTAAAAAATCATAAGATACGTTGAGATCTGTTGAATTAAATACATTATGTCCTTTTTAAATATAAATTTACATGTACAGGGTAACCCATGCAAGCCTAGCATAGTCCGTAATCCGTAATTTTTAACAGGGCACCTTGTATATTTTTATAGTTTTTAAATGCTCCCCAACAACATGATCTTAAATTATATTATTAATTATAATGGGATAAATTTTACAATTTCACATAACGCTTTTTAATCATAAATTTAAGTGTACAAGGTGATTTATGCAAAGTATTGTTAGTTTGCTGTCTCCATTAGCTGTTATCAAGTGTCATATGGACGGTTTCTTGTAATTATTTTCCCAACAGAATCTTCATTTGGTCTGCATATCGGATTTTGTTCCCTTGGTTTTCTACTTTTTCTTCTACTACCAATATTTATATGGTAACTGTTTTTCTAGCTATATGGTCGAAGTAATTTAGGTATCTTCGGTTTGCTTTTCTTAATAGCCTCTCACTCTCTCTCCTAACTCAGCAACTCAGTTGCTCCCATACAGTCTTCGTAGACACACCGTCTTAGAACTAGCAACTTCAACGTGGAGTCATATGTCGCCATGTAGTAATTAATTATTTGTTAACAGGTTTGTACCCATATATTTAGTGGCTACATTCATGTAATCCTAGACACTGATGATGGAATATGGATTCCGAAAACGTTTTGTCTGTTTAACTTAGCCCGTTTGGGTCTTAAATATATACCTTTTACAAAGGATTTTTATTAAATTTTTTAATATATGGTATTCAGCCAACTACAGGAACGTAGATTCCTTGTGGATCTTTTTTTTTGTCTTACTGTGGTAACCTGCTTACGTTTTCTTTTTTTATTTCTTTCCCTTTTCTTTTTTCTTTGCCTTTTCCTATTTTGTTTCATTTCTTCTTCAAATACCCTCTCCGCCAAGGAGTTTGGCAATCATCGTTGCTATTCGTTCCTTTGAAGCTGTTGCTTTAAATAATTGGTTAGATGTGCACTGGAACTAGTCTCTTAAATTGCGCAGCCAAGATATACGTTGTCTCTCCACGCTTCGTTTGCGCTGCATCTTTCCTTGGATAATTAACTGCAGCAATCGGTACTTTTTCCCTCTCATCACATGACCAAGATATTCCAGCTTTCTTCTCTTGATAGTGATCAACAGCTCCCGTTCTTTATTTATTATTCGAAGAACTACACTATTTGGTATTTTGTCTGTCCAAGTTCGCTTTACTCCCCTTTGTTTTTGTTGAGAGATTGGATCAATTCATTTTTGTGAGGTGAAAAGGTTATCACTGAACATTTACTTGGCTTACACCCACGATTGGAAGTTTTTCTTCAATAATGGCACAGGAAAAAGATCATATGTTGTCAAATACTGCAGAATGTCTTCTGAAAGGCGTGGCAGACTTTCTGTAGAAGCTTGTTGTAGGAATAGGGACAGCTGTAAACTAGTTATAGCATCAAGCTGTGTTTAAGTTTTAGGAATAGTTTCAAGCTGTTTATTAGGCCCAGATGGAACAGTGGAAAAATAAGATGATAAATAATTGTGACCAAAACGATAATCTGGTGTGCTCTCAGAATTGATAAAGTTACCGTCAGAATTTATAGGTTCATTTGAATTAACAGCAGCGGCTGAAACGACGATCACCTTATCATCTTCATTACTCGCATTATCAGGTGAGGCTGTAGAAGTGTTTTCTGCTTTAATTTCAGCTGCCATGAAATCGACATATGTAAATATGTTTTTATTCAATGGATAAATTTCTG